TGTAAGAAATCGCAAACGGCGGAAGACGCCTGTTTTCTGGGGTGCCATCGTGGTTTACGCTCGACCGAGGGGATAATCGATTGGTCATTCAGCGGAATTAGTTGATCGGGACAAGGTGGTCGATATACGCGGTGGCTTACGGTACGCTTGCGAAACACGCGCCAACACGTGGTACAGAGACAGGGCCAGACAAAGCACATTAAAAAGGTGTCCACTCTCTTTTTCTTTCCCCGTTCTGTTTTCCTCTTGCGCTTTCGAGCGCGTTTAAAATCACGTCGATTCTCGACGTGACAGAGAGGAGGCATGTGTGACGATACACGCTTGTCGTCGCTTGTCGTTTTACCAGTTGGGTGTCGAGCAATAGCGGAATTCATCGCACCGATCCAACTGTCGTTTATGGATGGAAGAGTGCAATTTGAAAATCGAGATTTTCGAAGAATCTCTACTGTAAAAGTTCGTACTGTGACGACGCGATTAATTTGCAGAAATTTACTTTACAAAAACTTTCCAAACACATATGCTTTCAAGATGTTCGTTTCCTTTTGAAGATCCGCATCCAAACCAATCTTTTGTCAAAGCAGCTTCTGTTTATTCGATATATCTTCGTTCATAAAAATTATAAATCCCATTTCGAGATGAACGAGACGACGACTTAGACGACTTAAAAAAAAAAAAAAAAGAAAAAAAATAGATATCATCAGATTTTTAGCCATGGCAGAATAATTCATTCTTGGCGTCGTTCCCTTACGGATTGAAAAGTGCAATCACTTGATAAAAGAATCAAAATTCTGCCTCTCTGTAGTAGATTTTCAAAGAATACAATATCCACCGAAAATTCGGTATTTTCGGGACATAAATGGTCTGGAAAGACCATACTTTTTTAGAAACTATTTCGAGCCGTATACTTTTCTATACTAAAATATTCATTTCCCCTCTGAAGGTTCGCATTCTTTTCTTCAAAATGGAGTCTCTATTTATTTCGTATGTGTTCGAGAACATTAGAAATTACGTTCCGTTTCCGGTTTCGAGAGAGAAAATCTCAGAGAATCAATATGATCAGTTTTAGCCGCAGTTAAATCATTCATTCTTTGGATCGTTTGGTAACAGATAAACACAATTTGGAGATTCAAGAATACAATGTAAAACACTATGAGATGTAGATTTTCGAAAGATTCAATGTCTACTGAACATTTGTATTCTGTCGATATATTCGCGTAGAAAATCCAAATTTCATATACTCCTTACTTTCTTTCTTTTCGCTCATCTACTTTCTCGTGATTCGACAGTCTGCGTTTTTTATTTGTCTCTTTTTCATCTTGAAGAAACACTCTGTATGCAAGTGTAGCGTTCAAATTAAACCGTCCTAGATGGCACTCTAGGATTACTATAATTTTGATGAAAGTCAAGTCACCGCCGTATCGCGCACGCGTTACGTGCGCTTCTTTTCAACAATTTCGCTTCTTTCTGCGAGAAAGAGAGAGAGAGAGAGAGAGAGAGAGAGAGAGAGAGAGAGAGAGAGAGAGAGAGAGAGAGAGAGAGACACGATATAGCGTACAAAGAAAGACTAAACGGAAGACTAAATTTGCGAAGCATCCTCCGCGTGACATAGTTACCATGCCGCTAGTACTGGTGAAACTACGAGGGAGGAAGTAACAGAATACGCTCGCTTGGTCGTCACCAGCTGCGTTGCACGCATACATACGCATGCATGCACCACTACCATGAATAATAAATCTACTTCAAGGATAACACCCTCGTCATTGGCGAAGATAATGACCGGCGGATCGTAGGAACGACAGGAATACCCGTCGACCTGCACCTATATACCTGCGGGCGCGCACAAAAGAGACGACGAATCCTTCCTGCCTCTCTCTACCTGGACGAACAAAGAGACCTTCGTAACGGAATCAACCCTCGGCGAGAGAGAGAGAGAGAGAGAGAGAGGGGGGGGGGAGAGAGAGAGAGAGAGAGAGAGAGAGAGAGAGAGAGAGAGAGAGAGAGAGAGAGAGAGAGAGAGAGAGAGGAGACCCTTCCCCCTGGCAATCTCGGCTCGCAACTCGCGCGTTCGGCCGATTTCCAAAACCCCCAGAGAGAGAGAGAGAGAGAGAGAGAGACCTCTCTGGGACTTGACTGTGTAGTCGTCGCTGCTAACAGCAGCGGTTCCGGCATTAATGACTCGAACATCCATTTTGGGGAACAATGGATGACAACACTCAAAGTCACCCGGTTGTAGGAATAGCGCGGTACGACCCCCTACCGTGCTCGTGGAGTTGATCGGCGAAAAGGGTGCTTCACGCGGTCAACGATCAAAGAGCGCAATATTGTGTATACCTCGCTAAATTTGGCAAATCAAAATTCAAGTATTGCCATTGTACGGTGATCAGGGAAGAATCTCTGATGATTCATAGAGTAATCTGTGCGCGCGCGTACATACACACACACACACACACAAAAGAGAAACGAGAATCGGGCAGTGAAACTCCATCACGCGGGCGAATGC